TAACCTGTAGAAATATCTCTATAATAAATGGAGTAAGTTGATTTATCAGAAAATATAGACAAAGAAATGATCAGTCTTTGATTTTTGTCTTAAGAATTGAAATTCATAGATCAGAGAACATAAAATCATAGAATTATTTCTTCAAAGAACTTATCGATAAACAGCCATATCAATAAGGTCATCGACTAATCAGAAAGTAAGAATTCAAAAACAAGACTTATTTATCAAAGTCAATATTGATCAAAGTGTTTATCGAAAAGGTTATCGATAAAGAGTGAAATATAAGACAAAGTGATTTATCACAAGGATTCTCCAAAAACTAAGTGAAAAGATTTATAACTTGAATTCCATCTGAGTCAGGGGATATTTTTGCTTTAAATAATAACATAATATGAAGAATGAAGGCTGAGAAAAGTTTAAAGATGGAATAATATCATATTTTCCTAAAAATGGTGTGAGAAACAATTTCAGACAAAATAATTGAATCTTATCAAGGACATTATCGATAACTTAGTTTATTGAAAAAGTTATCGATAATTGAGGTAGATTTTTAAATTCATTTTAAACAACTTTATCAAAAAGCTTTTAGAAAGAGATTATGCAAAAATAACAAGAGGAAAAAATAACTTTTATCGATAATGTATTCGATAAATATATTTATCGATGAAAATATCAATAAATGAATTTATTGATAGGGTTATTGATAAATTTCACTACTAAAAATATAACTTTTAAAACATAGAGAGTTTTATCGAAAAATTCTTTTGAAAAGTATAAGTGATTCAGTAAAACTTTAGAAGAACAATGCTTACTCATTTTTTCGATCAAATTATTGAGAATTAAATAGAATTCAACAGACACATTGATAAGCCAATACATATTAACAGTTTGTAGTATAAAAAAACTTACCCATTTATAGAAGTTTTTGGAAACCTTATTTATCGATAAGATCATCAATAAATGTTTAACAGTAAAGGTAAATGCAGGGAAGCAAAACAACTTACTTTGTCATCATCAAAACTTTAAGTCTAACGTAGGTTAAGAGAGAGATTTGGGACTTTTGCATAGAATTAGAAATTTTAACTAAAAAATATATATTAAAAATAAATTCTGTGCAAGTAAGTCATTTAATTTTTATATGATAAATTGTATCTATATTATTTTGTAAATTATATTGTGCCTTAAAGTGTGTGGAACTTGAGTTCTTGTTCCTCTGGCTTGCAAAATTAAGCTTAGAGTTAAGGTAACTGGCATTAATTTATTTTATATATATATATATATGATATGAATTGTAAGGTTTTCTTAACCTTCTCCACTTAAATAAATTATGAAGCATGTGCTTATAATTAAAATATGTATTTTCATATACGGAACTTGGTAAAGTGGAAAGTATGTTAACCGAAATACCATTGGCTTGTATTGATTTAATGTTTGCATCACATTATAGAGCGAAGTTGATGTTATGTTGTGAAATGTGAGATATATGTTCTTTGTTATTGATTAAGATTGTTATGTTGTGATTACGTATTAGGGTCATAAATGGATATTAGTATTTGTTATGTGGAGAATAATTGTTCTTAAAGCCCGCGCAACAAGGCAGCACTACTGATCATAGTGTTTGGTCATGTTGTCAAGCCCTTGTATAGTTTTTCCTTTTCCCCAACCTGGAATTAAAAATGAATTCCTAGGTAAACAGTCCATTTTTGGGTAGTTAAGTGTGGGAGGGGGCCAATTGACTTAATGTGAGTGGGGTGACCCCTTGGTCAGGTTAGTCAACACGGAAGCTCCGGGTCCTTGTCATGGAGTTACTAGGAGGAGTATAGTGGATGGGATGGGCATTTACACTATTATGTGGTTTATTGCATTTGTAGTTGTATATTTTATCACTTAAATACTTATGTATGGCACTACTTCACCAACTTACGATCTCGCTAGTATATGTTGTAAATAGATTACTGGTTACTAGACTTTAAGTCTTGATCACCCCGTTGTTAATAATTGTTTTCAAGAGAGTATTCTAGTTTGGCTCATCAGGAAGGAAGTAGCTAGAGGTGTAGGCAGTGCACCCCAGCAGGCCTCTTATGACTTGGGCTTATAATGATCGTATAATTTGCCATGTTAGAACTCATGTTTTGTAATTACTTATATAAGTATTTTCATTATACTTTTGGATCACTGTATTATACTAAAGTACTGGTAGAATAGCCAATGGCCATACGATTTAATTGCATATGGCTCTATTATGGATCCGCACTTGGTTTATTTTGAAAACTCCTATGTTGTTAATGATTTCAATTATATTATGATTGTTTGAATTGGGCAGGCATATGACTTGTGGGTTGGGCTTTGCCCTTATGTGTCTTGTGCCCTAAGTATTATGGTGATAGGTGTTGTGACGGGTTTATGAGCAGTTATTGTGCCCTAGACCTTGTTTTTGTGTGATAGATCCCTTGAGATGCTTGTCAAATAAGGCAAACTTTTTTTTTTATAATAAACATGGTAGTGGTTTAATATTCTAGGCCAATCCTTTTTTCTACCATGGTCAACTTCTTAAAAATGTTTTATAATTACTATATTATGGAACACTTTAGCTACTCATAGTCTCAAATAAACCAAAATTAAACAACTTGATTCGGTTCATATTAGATACAGGCAAAAAAAAACAGAGAAAGAAATAAAATGCATAAAACCAAGAATAGAGCTGTAAAATGCCTTCAAACTCCAAATCCAACATTCAAAACCTTCAATTCCTCAACGCCCAAGCACAGAGCCCCTCTAAAACCTCTTGTTTGTCCCTAAATCCCCTCAATCGGCTCCTAAAAACCCTTATTAAACCTTCACATTTTGAGCAGAAATCAAAATGCATAGCTTCTATATTTTTCACATTCACTACAACGAAAGTGCACCTTCACTACAGCAAAAAGTACAGTGTTATGAGTCTCACATTAGGAAATCTCATAAGTATTATGAGATTTATAAGTTCAAGAGATTCTTTCCTGATAGGCTAGTCTTTTAGGATGGGCTTTTCTCTTAGGCTTATGCTCATCAAATTGTTGCTTCTATTGAGAGTTGACTAATCGGAAATAGCTACCTACGGGGGTTCTGACCAGTTAGAAGACCGAGTGAGGTGTTATAGAGTGGACCCACTAGGGATATTGACTCTTGAGGGGGTGCTCTATTGTGAGTCTCACATTGAAAAATCTCACAAGTGTTATGGGCTTTATAAGTTTAAAGGACTCTCCCTCCTAATAGGCTAGTTTTGTGGGATTAGGATCTCCCTTTGAGATTATGCATCATATTTGGAGGGCTCAACCAGGTTTATAAGTCTCACATTGAGAATCTCACAATGTTATAAGTCCCACATTGGGAAATCTTATAAGTGTTATGGGGTTTATAAGTTTAAGGAGCTCTTCTCCTAATACTCGAGTCTTTTGGTAGTAGACTTTCTCCTTGAGCTTATACTCGTCACATTGATGCTTTCATTGAAAGTCGACTAACCGGAGAGGGCTACTTATTGAGGGTTCTTACCAATAGGAGACTAAGTGAAGTAGGGTGTATTATTATGAATCTCATATTAGGGAATCTTACAAATGTTATGAGGTTTATAAGTTTAAGGGGTTCTCCCTCCTAATATGCTAGTCCTTTGAGATGAGCTCTCCTTTTTGGTCTAGCTCATCACATTCAGAGACAACTTTTTCTAATTTTTGCTCAGTTCAGTATAGGGAAGAGTGTCTTTTGCTAGCGAAAGACACGGGGAGCAAACATCTGAGCTTGAGGTGGTTCGCTGCAGCCAAGAAACATGTATGCTGTAGCAAACATTGCGAGGGTTCTCCTGTTCACTTTAATCTTCTTCTTCTCTCTTTTCAATGCTTTTCTTGCCTCACTTGGTCTTTTAATAGCTTCAAAAACTTCGTCCAGTCCTCCTACTCAGAAGAAACTTGTAAACTTCTCAACTATTCAAAATCAACCGAAATATTCATAATTAACCTTCGAATTTTGATGAGGTTTATGTAAGCGTCTTTCTATTTGTAGTCCTAGAGTATGCACAATTTGATCCCCAAACGAGGCAAAAGACATGGGAAATGTACCGAAAAGTCTGAATTTCTGAGGTAATGTTTGGCAAGTGGCTCGCAATTTTAAGGGATTGGGAATGGCAATGGGATGGGATGTGAAAGTGTGATCGGGAGTAGGATTAAACTTCAAAATTATTTGATATGGAGTAACATTTTGAGAGAATGATTGCATTAATTTTATTTTTGAATTGATTATAAATTATAAAAAGGTAAAAACTATAATTATGTTAAATTATCCAATTACACATAGACATGTATCCTATTTTTAAAATTTTATCTGTATCCATCTAATCATTAATTAACAAAACATATTTTGGAACAAAAATTCAAAATATCCATTTTAATATAAGTATGTTTAAAAATGTCCATTATGAGAAAAATGTTTAAAAATATTTAGGTTGAAAAAGCAATTTTAACTCATTTTTAAAATTTTTTATCATATGTTTTTTGTGCTATATAAATTGTATACTTGTTTATTTAGTAATTTTTGAAAGTTTAAATGCATATGATATTTTTAAAAAAAAAAAAGGTAAAAACAAACTTAATGAACGAGAAATTTAACGTAGTAAGGGCTAAATAAGTCAATATAATTTTATGTTCGTTTTACTTTAAATTTTATTAATTTCAATATAATTTATGTTTATTTAATTATTGTCATAATTAATTATTAAAAATTCTTTCAATTGGAGGGAGGAAGGGAGACAATTGGATAACCAGGATAAATTAATAAATTTAAATTCTTTAACACAGCTTCAATGAACAAAATTGCGTATTTTAGAATTTTAAACAAAATGTTATTAACAATGTTAAAAGTTGAACTAAAATATGTGCCGTGTTCATTTTTTTGGCTGTCCTGTCTACCTATCAGGAAGGTAATTCGTGTATACGATATCAAAGTAAATAAATTTAGGCATTTTACAAATACTATAAATATGAATTGCTGCAGCTACGAATACTATAATTATTAACCTTTGATGACATTCTACAAATGAGGGTCAATCTCTAGAAAAGGGGAAAAAACAACTTAATACAAACCTCCCTCATATCATTTGAAGACATTTTCGACAAATTAGGGCTATAGTACACTGGCCACCCCGGGATGGCACTTCTCAAAATACAAGAACCAGACAAAATTAAAGAATCACTAAATCGGCACACCGACCTAATTACCTGCTAGAGCTGGTTAGTCCTTTCAGAAGAGGGTGGCATGGCAGCACTAAAACGACCCTCTTCAGGACAATCACGTCGCGGAGAGGCCAATCCACAATGTGAAGGGACCTAAAAAAGATGATGACAAGTGAATCTGGAATCCTGTCATATATATATATATATATATATGATCCCTTCCATTCACATAAACCGCCCTCGGCTGCTGTTAAGAGCGCCGTCGCCAGCAGCTTCCATTTGGAAACAAGCCAAATTCTCATGAGCAAACAGCTTATCCTGCATTGTTGGCAACTTCAGCAGCTCGCTGTCTCATCATTTCCATCACGGCTGCTCTTCGCCGAGAGTCCGACTGCTGCTGCAACCTCCTTAAATGTTCTTTCAGATCTCTGAAGTAATCCAAAAATGGAAGATGTTAGACGTGAAAGGTCACAAGAGTAACCCAGAAATGGCAACCAATGCTTGACCCACAAACCTGCAACGTGGCACGTGGCACTCAGATTCTTTGCAAGCCCGAGCATGAAGTTGCAGCAAATACCACATTTTCTTGCAAAGAACACAGCCTCCAGAGGCACGTGTTTTGCATTGCATCCCATGGCGGAAGAGTCCCTTCACTTTGCGACAATTTGGATACTGGCAATGGGCAGAACGGCATTGGGATGCATGCACAAGAAGATCAAGCATTTTCCGCAACTGTAATTACAGATTCCGTTACTATCAGGCACTTAAAAGAAAGAGCGCAAGTTCAAGATTATAGCTGAGCATGGAGGTAAAATGCGATGGTTAGGTCAAGATGATCATGCAGCACCGTAAAATGGGAGGAGCAAGCAAGAGGAACCAAAATTCCAAAGAAATGATCAAAGAATTTGATGAAATGCAACATAGAAGAAAAAGGCAGGAGGCAAGATGCATTTTAATTGAAGGTTACATATAAGCTTGGTTTAAGAAGATACACATATATAACTTTTTCTTTTTTTTTTTTTAATTAACATTTGTCTGATTAATCCCATGTAATAACAACATGAAACTGAAAAGTTTCTTACGAAACTAGTGATATAATATTAAAGTAGAATTGCTATTGATAGTCACTGAAAATATGAAATTCAATATCTCACTTTCAAAACTTGCGTCACTTAATTTCATGCTTTACATGCTAAAATCAACCATGAAGACAGCCCCTTTAAGCTTAAGTTTTACCACATACGAATTGACAAATGCTTTATTTGACAAGTCAAATAACATAGTGAGACGTTGGCAGTAAGCACATCTTAAAATCAGACAAACCTCAATAACAAAAACATAACAAATACCTGTAACACTCGAAGCTGCCTTGCTTCTTTGTTCTGAGCATCACGCTCAGCCAAGGACGGATGATTTGTTAACTTATGAGGATGATCAATACCTCCATCCTTTTGATAACACGCATTGCACACATCATAGTCAGGGCAAACTTCACAACGCCAACCTTGACCAGTTTCAATGTCAAGATGACATATATTACAAGTTGTCACAAAGGCAGGAGCAGTCGGATTATGAAGATGATAAAGGACCATCATTGATGAATGTTTGGCCCGCCTCAGAGTATCATACTGATAATGGTTTCCCTGACAGAGACTGAGAAATGCCTGTCTAGTGTCAAAGAATTCACTTTCAAGAATCTCGTCTTTGTCCTTCGTATCAGCTGGCACATCAGTAATTTCAATCTGCAAATAATAATAAAAATAATATTAATAATAACAATAGCAACAGTACATAAAAGAAAACCCAAATTCATATCTCCCATACAATAACTATTGCACAAATTACTAGCTATGATTTGCAACTATTATCCATCAAATCCCTTAAATTCTTCAAATTACCATTAAGCAAAGTACCAGGGCAGTAGACAATCAAGAGATCTCACACAGAAACACATCTGAATTTGGAAAGAACAATTCATTTTACATGCAATGAAAAAAACAATGCATACTTACTGGGCGAAAGGTATGTTTCTCCCTATGATGGATAGGATGCCTTTCCCTTTCTTCGCGCTTCTGTTCTGCTTCATAACATCTAGGAAACCACATAATAGAAATTAGATCAAAAAATAAGGTGAACGGACATGCCCAATGATCAACAAGAATTCAGCAGATTAGAGAATAAAAAATGGACCCCAGTTTCCAGTCTATACAAGCCCATGATGAAAAAAGAGCTACGGGACAATTGAAATTGAAACATGTCGTTAGTGTAAATCCAGCTGTGCCATACAAAGATAGCGCTGGACCTCATAAAGCACATCCAGTACCATCAATAGAATGAATAAATGCTGATTGTCATAGGCCAAAAACTCTCTAAAGCCTTTAATTATATACACGAGCTTATGGTAATATTTGTGTTGCTTTGCCTTGGATGGCCCCCGTTATTTAGATGTCATTAGGTTTTCTTCCAATGTCCAGGTTCGCCTAAGGTGGTGAATAGTAACCTCAGCTTCTGAGATCAGAACTCTTCCTAATTATTGTCACATAAGTTATAGGAGATCAAATAAAATGGCTGCCATGCTTTCTTTTTAGAAGTTGATCATTAATTTCAACCGGAAAAAATAATCTGATCATTAACCAGATTCATCATTTATGACAGTATACTCCTCTTGGTTGTGCATTGATTAGATTCATTTTCTACTTCCCATCATCCATTATGTTCTCTTTTATTCCGTCAGCAGCTGCCCCATCCAGATTATTTTGGCAGAGATCACCCAGAAAACTACTCTAAGCCAAGTACTCTCTTCATTCGACTTTGCTGGACTCCCAGAATCTCAATTTATAGGTAACGTACACAACGGCCAAACAGCCTATATACCATGCCTTTTACCAACCTATTTCTACCATTTATTTACTCTAGGAACCCAAATTTTTCATCTTGATACGACCGAGCTACCACAGAACCTGCCTCAGAAATAAGATGATACAATTCTGATAGTGTACTGCTAACATAATTAAAACCAAATTATTTTGCCACGCTACAAGAAAATATCTATGAAATTAGGTTTAACTATTCTTACTTGTCACACATCTGAAAATTTTTGCACTGGTTGCAAACCCAACGGTTGCCAGATACCATTAAAATACAACAGTGACTGCACGCATGCTGCAAATGAACCATGATAAAATCTTCCTTCATTGGGCTAATGGTTTCGCCAAGCTGGAGAAACATCAAAACATTCTGTAAGAAAAAATTATCCTCATACAGGGAAAGTCATCTAAAATTTTAAATGCAATCCAACAATGAGAAACTAAATTAAATGTCTGCTGGAAACATAATTTGCAAGGCATTCTTTTTGCCACAAGGACAATCAGTGGCAAAGAACCAAAAAAAAGGAATTACCTTATGCATTAGAAGGAGATCTTTTGACGCGTTACCAGAGAGATCTGACTGACCAGATGCCTTTAAAGCCCTCTTTGTTATAGTCTTTTTAGTTGTTCCTTTCTTATTCAATTTTCTGCCATCTTCTTCTTGGTTAAGCTGATAAATCAGATCCTCTGCAGCCCCAGGCCAGTAGTCACCATCAAAATAAGGAAGTCTTGAAGCAGTAACCTTAGCTCTACATTCACCAGTAGATACAAAGAAATGGTCATACAAGTTGGTGAGATCAACCACAATAGTCTCCTTGGCAGCTTTCCTTAACATTGATAAGTACCTGAAGAGACAAGTCCACAAGGATCAAAATTAGAAATGGGGGGACACTTTATACAAGTCAAAACAGTGCGACAATTTTTTTCTCCATTTTTAATGCTGAAGCTCACCATTCTCGAAGTTTATCAGATTTTGGAGTCTTCTGAATTTCCGGGTGACAATATAAAATATAATCTTCGCCCTTCAATGGAGGACAGGCCCAAATATAGCAGCTTGTAAAACCACGTTTCTTACAATATTCAAGGTATCCAATCTATGAAACAAATTATAATGGAAATTACTCAGTGTGTAACCAAACAATCAAGAAAAAGCTTGAACCTGAAAATTGAATGTGTTCACGAAAAAAATACGCAAGATGTATTATAAAAGTCACATAAGAGTGGCAACTATACCAAAATTTCATGATAAACAAACGTCCGAAGAGCCTCCCCAGTCATTGCTTTAACTTCAGGCCTAAAATACTTGACAGAATCGAGATATGACAGATATACCCGACGCTGATTAGGGAACTGGCATTCAGATCCAAATTCTTGAACATACATGCCAAAAAGGCATACTTCCACACCTTCAATCTTTTGAAACAACAAAATTACCTGGACCAGAAGCATAAGTGCATAAATAACCATATCCAATAATCATGATTCAATAACCACTAGATAAATCAAAGCAACCTTCTCGCTACCTTAGATTTATATGGGAATTCTGTAGGATAATTTTCTTCCCGAAAAATTTCCAAAAACCGTTGTTTCACTTCTAATTTTTTGTCCACAGATGACACCACTCTAACAACAAGTGCTTCAGCCCCAGGCACCTGCTACAGCAGTTGAAATAGTCTTATATAACGCCAGCACAAAAATCACAAAAATCTAACATTCCATATAATTAAGACTATTTTTTAAAACATTGATGATCAGCTAAGCATGCTTAATTAATCAAATTCAAAGTGCAGATGGGTTTGAACACTCTTTGTCATGTCATGGGCTTGTCATACAAGTTTTGGGAATCAGTAAATTTCACAGGGCAAACTATAATGTTTTTTTAATGGTATTTTCTGTATACGAAAGATGAGCAACGTCTAGGACATTTGAGACCATTTTACTCAGTTTCTTGCTTTAAATCATAAAAGTGACCGTATATTCTTACTCACTTCATCATTTTCTTCAATTCCCATTCATTGGAATCTTGATTCAAAGAAGACGAGGAAGCCCTAACCCAGGAACTCAATTTATATGGTTTTGGTTATATGATTTTTCTCTTTGAAGCATTTACAGGTTATGGTTATGTCTATAGTGAAGGATTGTATTGCTTGATAGTGAAAAGCCCAAGTTTTCATATAAACCCATGAAATTAAGGAATTAAAATTTGCATGTTGTTAGGTTAAGAATTTTTTATAATTGACTTCTTAGGATATCTAACATTGCGTATACAAAGTTCCATTAGAATTGGTGTTGACTTGCTATGTAAAAGCTTACTCGAAAGCTGCTCATATAGACTTGGTTTTGCTATTGTTACTCGAACAGGAAATTCTTTGATGTGAGGACTTTGGACACATCTTGAAAATTTTATTTTGCAATTTCTAACAATTATGAGAAACTATTCTTGATTATGGATTAGTTGTTGAACTTCACTTGTCACTTGCCAGTGAATTATTATGGTTAGCTTACATGTATCTCAGCTTGTTGGTCTTGGAACATAAAGGCTCTTGTAAAATCTTGAGGGACTTGCTTGGGAAGGGGTTGGCTTTTGAAACAATTGGGTAAGTAATAATGATCAATGTCCTTGGAAATTGCATCAGTGTGGCTACTTCCGACGTTTAGGCTTATTGCCCCACTTTTATGAGATAGTAAGCATCTTCTCTTGAATTTTTTCTTTATTGGGTTTGTGGTATCATGAAATTGTGAATTTTCACATTCTTATGTGCTTGGTCTTGCAGAAAGTGTTGCTTGAGTTGGATAATCTTGAAAGATTTCATTTGCATTATTTGAACCCTCAAAACATTTGGGTGAGTATTATGCTTCATGTTATTAAACAAGGTGGTTTTAGCGAATTTTAATCTCACATGATAATTGAATACTTGCCTTACTTCAATAAAAGTAGTAAAAGGCTTATTATTGGGAGCACCTTGTGATGGCTTGGTCATGTCTGGGACCCAGTAATTGGCGTTAGATTGCTCTTTATGGATGACTTGTTCATCTTTATGCACCATTAGTAGTTATAAATAACCAGGGTTTTTAACTCTGTTAAAACCTTCCATATTAAATATTATGATTTGTGAAATATGAAATGGTGATGAATCGTGTACTCTTCTTGGTTCCAAGGATGTAGGGTTGCATGATACCTGGAGTTATTCCTCTATTCTTACAATTAACTATGGGTGAGTTTTGGATGCTGTGATTGTTTAGAATGTCTTGAAATATTTGTGGGGATGATGATATCATTCAAATAAGCAATTAGCTCTCACCAAGAATAGCCCTTAGACCAGCCTTCACACCTCTATCCTTCTCCAACGACCTTTCGTAGATTTTGTCATCTTAGTGTTTCTTTTTTCTTTTTCTTTTTTTAAATTCTAGAAGACTCTAAAGGAGCTGGGTTCCCTATTTGTTCTCAGAAGGTGATGGATTGGTCACCCATTAAGATTCAAGAAGCCCTCAGTTGATCGAATGTGGAAGATGATGGGGTGGAAGTGGGTTTGGAAGATGGAGGTGGGGGGGGGGGAAGGTGGATCTGGAAGATGATGGAGCACAATTTTTTAGGATAAAATTGACAGTAAAGATGGCATGACTTTTTGGGGGGTGAATGTTGTCTTTTTATTTAGATTATTGAGGGTAAAATTTGATACTGTATAAAAGATTGCAGGCCTACAATGAATACTCATAGTGGTCCAGTGAGGAATAGATATTACCGCAATGTGCAATCTTGTTTACAAGTGTAATCTGTTTTACCATCAATAAGCCCAACCAAACGAGTCATGTATGGTAATGCAATAAGGATTACCACTGCATGTCCACAATGGGGTTGAACCAAATGGGCTTAGTTTCATCATCCCTTTAAGGCGTAAATGATCTCAGAATTGTTTGAACTTAGTGTCATTTGTTAGCTCTCATCTAGATCTTCATGTGGGAACTCAAACCACCTACCTTGGGAGATCCAAAGCCCTGCATATAGACTCTGAAAATTGGAAAAGTTTAGCAGCAAAAACAGATCCCTCCACTGTCATGGTTTGCCTTGCTGACCATTCGCTGCGTTGAAGTGCCAACCCTAGAGGGTTGTCGCCACAGTGAAACTAAGTGTCAGCCCTAGAGGGTTGTCGCCACAGTGAAACTACGTTTCTTCAAGAGATGTTCCCCACCCTATCCTCCTATGTGATTCACTTGGGGATTCTTTTGGACTTGTGTTTGGTTTGTTGGGCCCTCTTTGGGCTTAGAGAAGTTTGTGAATGCTTCAAGTTTCCTCACTTTTTTCATAAATATTTCGGTAACAAGGTTCTAAGTTTCTAATTTTCACCTGAATCCCGTTTTAATACATATGATGTCACAGCAAACAGCTCCCAATCAATCATTATAGATCAAATGGAATTTTCAAAGAACGAATCGATATCAATCTGACAGAGAGGAGGAGGAAAACAACACATACAAAATTACATACTTGGAACCAAAATATGAAATATAAGGCTCAAAATAAATTTCTCGTTACTATTGGTGAAACATACCCGTTAACTAACATGCAAAAAATAAAAAAACCTAAGTATAAAATTTGTATTCCTTTAATTTTTAGTAGGACAATCTAACCTATAGGATTCATTTTAGGGAAAAAGAGACATGCAAAATCAGTACTTGAGGTCAACAAAGTTTTTAACATGATATTTAAGTCCAGAAAGTTCAATATCTATTATTTACCTTTGTATGAGTTCATTGGAAAGAGTAATTAGGTTGTCAAGCATTAAATAATATAAAGAGTAGAATCAGTAACAAAACTTGTTCCGCCATTTCAAGCAATAGAAAGAATAATCTAAAAATATTACAACTGGGAAATAATTGATAAATCACCTCATCATAACTTTTCCCTTGAAGCCTTGCCCTCTCTTGTCTCTCTTGTTTTAGTTTCTTAAAGAGCCGTTGCTCTATGTGATCACTGAGAATTGTTCTAGGCAAATCCTTGGCCCCAAGAACAGCACTTTGGGGTAGGGGTTTGCGCTCTCCTCTTTCTACTTCTTGAATATAGCAGTTAGGGCAAGTGTATTCAGCTTGTCCCCCATCATTTCTTCGACCATTAAATAAGGCACAAATTTGGTGTTGCCAAGCTTCACATTTATCACATTGGACCCACTGCCATATGAAAAGGGGAAACATTCAATAAAACATGTAGAAAGCTGCCAATCAAAGCCATTAAATTAGACTATAATACCCACCCATTCCTCAGTTTCTTCATCATTTTTCTTTTTCTCCAGCCTTGCCTTAGGAATGGCAATTCCATCAACAAAAATGGTGTCTCCACGAGCCTCATTATAGCACGGAATACAAAAATAATGACGTGTATCACCAGTACCCATCGTATGATACATAGCATTTCGTTTAATGCGAGCACCACAAGTTGAGCAATATATAGGTGGCGGTTCAAATGTAAGCTTCTCTACAGCACACAACTGACAGGAGTTCTCACTCATTGCATGCTCCATTGCTTGATTCTTTTCTGCTTTTGCTTTGCTCTGTCACGAGATAATAACAGAAGCACCATGGTAAGAAGTGCAAATCAGAGGTCGTTTATACAGCAAGACTTATCCCACTAAGTGAAAGTCATTAGAGGTATAAAAAGGAAAAACCCAGCATGGCTACACAGGAGCAAAATATTATAAAGATAGTATTTTGGACTTTGGACTCAACACATTTCTCGAACATTAGGAAACCATACATGATGCTTGTATTACCATCCCCATCTTCTTGTATTAAAAACATCCAACTCAACCAAATACAAAGAGAAGGAACAGGAGGAAATGGTATTCATGAAGCTCCACAAATTTAGTTTTTTTATGCCTCCAGAAGCAGCATGGAAATTGAACATTAAGCTCGACAAGCTAGAGGAAAACTCCAAGTGATTTACAGAAACATATTGCAAACCTCCACAAGAAACAACAAATGAAAAGTACTTTTTCCAATCCTTTTTCTCTCTATAGGAAACCTAATTGTCCATTGGTGTCTCTCTCTTTTTTCTAATGAAACTTTTTAAACCACAAAAGAAGTACATCATAAACATGACTGTTTAAGAAACACTCAGCCTAGCTATTCAGCAGAATGTGATTATTGTGATCAACAACATGGGGTTTTCATTGATAAAATTTCTTACTTCAGAAGATCTGATGCTGCAGCACAATCATACCTACTATAGAAGATATGACAGCACATAGTCAACATTTTTCTATTTTCCTTCTACTTTATCTTCATGTTATGTCATGCTTGAGGGTGCAATGTCAGCTTATTATTGAATGAGTTGCGTCACATTCTACCAGAGTTCTTAGAGCAAGGGATGTGAAATCAAACCCAAGAGTTCATTGATGAAACACACTTATCAGTAAACAATCATATCTATTATAGAACATGACAGTGCACGGCCACCATTTTTCTATTTTGCTTCTACTTTATTTTCACTGTTATCTCACACTTGAGGGTGCAATATCAGCTTATTGTTGAATGAGTTGCATCACCTTCTACCGGAGTTCTTAGAGCAAGGGATGTGAAACTGTTAGAAGCCCTTGATCTCGTCCCTGATTTTCTCTCCTTATTCTCTCCATTAATTACCCATGATTCTAGCTAGACAATAAATTCCTGATTTCTTGTGATATTGCAATATCTTTCAATTATTATTTGATTGTAACTGGATGGTATGAGACTCTATAAATTGTACCCACATCATATGAAATAATATGCTAGAGTGAATTTTCAATACTCTTTAAACATGGTATCAGAGCGTGTGAGCCCAGAAAGGGTCCTGGAGAGTCTGCCGTGAGCCAGAGAGAGAGAGACGGCGAGGAGAGAGAGAGAGAGAGAGAGTGAGGCGTCCTCAAAACTGGAACCAGAAGTGGTCCGTGGACGACACCACCCCTCCAGGCCTCACCGGCGTCCCCAAATCGGCGCGTCCCCAGAAGGCGACGTCCAACGGAGCTGCGCGTGACTCTCACGCGCCGTTACAAGCTCCGCGGGTGAATCCCACGTGCCGCCACGCCCCGCCACTGTACCAGCGCGTACCGCCCACGCGCCGCCTCCAGAGACATCCAGTACCTTCCAGAGACCCAGAAGATGGATAACCCAGAATTCCCACCACTTTTTAGGTCTGTTCGCAATATTCCAAGGGTCCTCATGTCCGGTACATCTTCAAATACTCAAGCTACTCCTTCTTCACCAGTGGTTACTCCTTCTTCAGACTTGACAATAGCCGCTGAACCTCAAGCTATGGGGGTAGCCCACAAACTTAATGGAAGCAATTATCTCCAATGGTCTCAAAGTGTATTAATGTATCTGCGTGGGAAGCGTAAGGAGAAGTATATCAATGGAGAAGCAACACAACCTTCACATAATGATCCCAAATTTGATACCTGGTTCGCTGAAAATAATCAGGTGATGTCTTGGTTGTGCAATTCAATGACTCTTGAAATCAGTGAAGGATACCTTCTTGCAAGCACAGCCAAGGAAATCTGGGATGCTGCTAAGCGGACCTACTCTACCCTCGATAACACTGCAGCCTTATTAGATCTAAAGAGGCAGCTCAAAGATCTGAAACAAGGCAACTTAACTGTAACTCAATACTACAGTACGTTGACAAAGATATGGCAGCAATTGGACCTCTTTGAAGTACATCCTTGGAAGGATATGGATGATGCTAATTACTACAGACAATTGGTGGAAAGAGGACGAACATATGACTTTCTGTTGGGCCTGAATGATGTTTTTGAAGAAGTGAGGGGGAGAATTATGGGACTGAAGCCGCTGCCATCCCTATTTGAAGTCTTCAGTATGGTTAAGTTCGAAGAAAGCCGAAGACACCTCATCCAAGGTAGCCTGACCGCAGCAGAGGGCTCGGCATTGGTGACGAGGGGGTTCCAGACATTAGAGGGCCCTGAGAAGAAAGGGAACAAGTGGTGCAACCACTGTAACAAGAGAGGCCACACCAGAGATGAATGCTGGAAACTACATAGGAAACCAACTCAAGGGAAACAGAAACAACGGGAAGATAGAAAGAGCCACCACACCTCCTCTGAAGAAAAAGGTGATGATGGAGACCAGTTGACCAGAGAAGAGCTTCAAATGCTTCGTAAGATACTTGAAAAACAAAACAAATCAAAATCTGTTCCCAACGTGAACTTGATACAGTCAGGTAATTCCATTATAGCCCTTAATGCAATGGTAACTAGTGATGAGACTTGGATTATTGACTCCGGTGCTACAGATCACATGACTGGTAATAAGTCCTTCTTCAAAACCCTCAAATATTGCCATGAGAACCTTAGAGTAAAAGTGGCAACTGGACTGTATACTAAAGTTGAGGGTGTTGGCAGTGTGGCTCTATCTGAAGATCTGGAAATCCATAATGTTTTGTTTGTCCCTGCTCTTACTTGCAATCTTATTTCTGTGAGCAAATTAACTAAAGGGAAAGCATGTCGGGTGATATTTGATGATGTTAAATGTGTTTTTCAGGATTCGACCTCGGGGAGGAAGATTTTGACTGCTAAAGAATGGGATGGACTCTACTACTTTGAAGGAAAGGATATGAAGATAGCAGGAGCAAAGAAAGCTATGGTTAGCTCCAACTCTCAGAATAAAAATGTAATGTTGTGGCATCAAAGATTAGGCCACCCCAGCTTTGATTATATGAAGCATGTGTTTCCAACTTTATTCAATAAAAATTCTTCTCCTTTCCAATGTGAAACGTGTCAAATTGCTAAACAAACTCGCGCCTCTTATCCCAAACATACTTACAAACCTTCTACCCCGTTCACAATGATCCATACCGACATTTGGGGACCAGCCAAAACCAACACCCAAACAGGCACAAAGTGGTTTATCACATTCATAGATGATCACACCCGGGTCACATGGGTTTACCTTATGAAAGAGAAATCCGAAGCCCTACAAATTTTCAAAAACTTTTACTCGTTTGTGAGAACCCAATTCCAAACTACCATCCAAGTCCTGAGAAGTGACAATGCCAAAGAGTATGTGAGTGGAGCCTTTAGGGAATTTCTTGAGCAGGAGGGAATCCATCACCAAACCTCATGTGTTTATACTCCTCAACAAAATGGAGTTGCTGAGCGAAAGAATAGACACCTTTTGGAAGTAACCCGAGCTATTATGATGGAAAGAAATGTTCCAAATCTGTTTTTGGGAGATGCTGTACTAACCGCAGCCTATCTTATCAACCGCATGGCCTCTAAAATTCTCCACTTTAGTACCCCTATTCAAAAGCTCCTCGAGACTTACCCCACTTCACCTATCATCAATACAATCCCTCAAAAGGTCTTTGGGTGTGTCGTCTTTGTCCATAAACATGATGGAGGCAAACTAGGTGCTAGAGCAGAAAAATGCATTTTCCTCGGGTATTCCTCCACCAAAAAGGGGTATAAGTGTTATTGTCCCACCACCAGAAAACTTATAATCTCCAAAGACACAGTCTTTTATGAGGATGATGCTTACTATCCCAAATTACCCATTCAGGGGAGCACTATGGAGTAGAATGGCTAATTACATCCGAACCTATAACCATACCACCTCAAGACAACATCCCTGAACCGGAAACGGAACCAAAAACCCCTACTACTACACCTTCTCCAGAACACCAAAACTCCACAAACACCCCTCACCCAATGGAAACCAATGCTGAAATTGATGCAGGGGTGACAGAGCACTCAAGTCCTCAATCAGGTGAACAGGACAGTAGTAGTAGGGTTCCTTCCATTCCAAGGCAGCAACATGATTCCAATCCGGAGTTGGATCCTGAAGAGCTGGGATGGCCTATTGCACTTAGAAAGGGGGTAAAATCGTGTACTCAACATCCTATTCAAAAATTTGTCTCCTATGGCAATTTATCTGCGAGAATGCAAACTTTTGTAGTGAATAGCTCACAGGTGAAAATTCCAAAAACATTTCAACAGGCTGTAACAGATCCTAATTAGAAACATGCTGCATATGAGGAGTTGAGAGCCTTGAAGGAGAATAACACGTGGGATATCACCACACTTCCTAAGGGCAAGAAAGCAGTGGGTTGCAGGTGGATCTTCACCCCTAAATTCAATCCTGATGGCAGCATCAACAAGTACAAAGGAAGATTAGTTGCCAAAGGGTACACCCAAACCTGTGGCAAAGTCAACACCATCCAGGTACTCCTGTCCCTAGCTGCCAACCTTGATTGGCCCCTACATCAGCTAGATGTGAAGAATGCTTTCCTAAACGGAGATTTGGAGGAGGAAGTGTACATGGAAATTCCAGATGGAGTAATAGCTCCACCCAACTCAGTTTGCAAATTGAAGAAATCATTATATGGCCTGAAACAATCTCCACGAGCATGGTTCGACAGGTTTGCCAAAGCGATCAAAAGGTTTGGCTACATTCAAGGACAAGCTGATCACACTCTTTTCGTCAAACACAGTGATGGAAAGGTAACGATCCTAATTGTGTATGTGGATGATATAGTCGTAACTGGCAGTGATGAGGTTTCTATCTCCCATCTCAAGAAAGCCCTAGCTAGGGAATTCCAAGTGAAGGACCTAGGCCAAATGAAGTACTTTCTTGGAATGGAGGTTGCTAGATCCAAAAAGGGTATAAGTGTGTCTCAACGAAAGTACACACTGGACTTACTCCACGAAACAGGAATACTTGGGGCTAAACCTAGTGAGACTCCTATGGAAGAGTCATGCAATCTGGAAGTGAAACCAAAAGGGACACCAGTTAACTCAGAAAGGTACAGAAGACTTGTGAGCAAACTAATCTACTTGACTCATACAAGGCCTGACATTAGCTATGCAGTTGGAGTGGTAAGCCAATTTATGCATCAACCCCAGGAAGAACACATGGAAGCAGTATACAGAATCCTCACCTACCTCAAACTCAACCCTGGAAGAGGACTATTCTTTAAAAAGCGGAGTACAAGGAGCATAGAGGTCTACACTGATGCAGATCATGGGAGAGCTGTGGATAACAGAAGATCTGTCACAGGATACTATACTTATGTTTGGGGAAACTTAGTCACTTGGCGAAGCAAGAAACAGACAGTAGTCTCAAGAAGCAGTGCTGAGGCTGAGCTAAGAGCTGTAGCCCTGGGGGTATGTGAAGGAATGTGGGTGATTAGACTTCTGAAGGAATTGAGAATTTCCTATGAAGGACCTATGAATCTCTGGTGTGACAATCAAGCCAGCATTGAAATGACCAAGAACCCTGTGTATCACGACCGAACAAAGCATGTTGACATTGATCGACACTTCATCAAAGAAAAGGTCGAGGATGGCATCATTAACTTGAACTATGTGCGTTCAACTGATCAGATTGCTAACATCATGACCAAACCGTTAGCCAGAGTCAAGTTTGAAGGGCTTCGAAGCAAGCTGGGAATGGTTGACATCTACTCTCCAGCTTGAGGGGGAGTGTTAGAAGCCCTTGATCTCATCCCTGATTTTCTCTCCTTATTCTCTCCATTAATTACCCATGATTCTAGCTAGACAATAAATTCCTGATTTCTTGTGATATTGCAATATCTTTCAATTATTATTTGATTGTAACCGGATGGTATGAGACTCTATAAATTGTACCCACATCATATGAAATAATATGCTAGAGTGAATTTTCAATACTCTTTAAACAGAAACCAAAGCCAAAAGTTCATTGATGAAACACACTTATCAACAAACAATAGCAGCAATTCAATATCAGATATTTTTATGCGCAAAATTTAAAAACAGATTCCGAAATCCAAACAACAACAAAATATCAATACGATATTAATAGTCAAAAAAACCAAAATAATAATACCTCTAGTGATCAAAATGTCAGTCGTTCATATTATATGACATTGACGTGAGATCAACAAAGAGGTGAGTCATGATGATTATTTACCATTGAACACCGTTCAATCTCTATTCATGACAATAATCATATGAAATACAGCATTCTAACTTAGCAGCACAAAGATATGCAAAGTTTATGATAAAATATATAAGTTGAATAAAGTTCAACATTTTTAGATTATAATGGAACTGATTTCCACTAAACATGCTTTCAACAATCAAATTACTGGCTGTAAATTTGAAAGATACAAGTGCAAGGTAACAAAAAAGACTTACTTGGCCAACCCATCGTCTTAGGCCAGTGATGTGTTCCCTGACTTGCTCTGGAGTGAATAGTTCAGTCAATGAGACCCCCTTTATTTTAGGCTTACCAGACTTTGTCCCTCCCAAATTTTCTGATGACTGGGCAAGGTTTTCTGGCTGATCTTGTGCAGTTTCTTTCTCAGGTTTAATATTTTCTGGCCTAGCTAAATTGACAGGTTCATCATATGTGACAGGTTCACTACCAGGCCATCTGTCCTCCGCATTATTCATTTTCACTTCACAAGCATTTGTGGGTGTTGAATGCACTGGACCCTCAGCCTTAACCTCTGTGAACTCAGATTTAACCGACATTGGCATATCACCATGGATATAGTCTTGGTTCTGGGCATCCTTGGAAACATTAGATTCACAGTTAGCTAGAACTGACACAGTAGAGTTGTCATTTTCTGAACTAAAGGACTGGGTACACTGTTCAATTTTCATACGTTTTAGAGATGGCTGCAGGTCATCTGAAGTTTCAATAGCAGGCAAAGGTTTTGAGATCAATCTAGGTGATGGAACTACAGAATTGTAGGGTTTACAAGATCCATTCACTGCGACAGGCCCTCCTGATTCAGAATCTGGCCGAGTCTGAGGCTTAACTTGAAGTGAACGTCTGTAATTTCGAACAAAGACACAAACTGGGCAACACGGATCCTTGCAGTTTCTGAAATGAATTAGCAATAGCCTGGTATGATGACAGCGGGGATATGGGCAGTGAGGGAGGTTGCATCCATCAATGTGCCTGCATAACTTCTGAGCACTATAACAATATCTCTCTTGGCATCGTCCTTCTGGGGCAGGACACCGTCGAGCATGAAGTAGAAATAAAAGCCACCTTTGTTGGTTCCTATGTGCTTTCTTAATATTAACATTTGAATCAAGTGGCTCAGCCCCTCTAGAAGCAACAGCTTGACTAACAACATTTCCATCGGAAGATAAATTATTGCACTGAGCTTCATCTTGCCTCGATATTCTTTGATGGAAATCCATATGGAGATGCTGCTCATGTGACATATTTCCCGGTATGTGGTTAACACCTTGTGATTGAGAATTCCATTGACTTATAAGTGCCGATTTAGATTGTGTCCCAACTGAAAGACAACTAAAATTATTTTCAGGCTCTGAATGTGGGTGCAACATTTGTTGTGAGTTTTGAGTAGTTGTCACAGATAACTCGTTCTGACCATCTGGAAAAGAAAGATGCTGGGCATTCCCCGCACAACTATCAGTAGAGTTCTGCTGCAGCTTGTTTTGCATATCAGAAATATTAAACTGTTCAGAAACTTGTGAACTGAATACTTCTTTGTGGTGATCAAGTCCCGGCTCAGACTTCACTTGAGCTTCTAAATTGGAAGGGATATGAGACTGGCCAAAAGCACCGCTGTTGACCAAATGCTGAGGTTGCTGACTTCGCAGCTTAAGTTGATATTGCTTCTGAGCATACTGCTCAGACTGTTCAAATTGCTGTTGAGCATACTGCTCTGGCTGTTGAAATTGTTGGGAATGCTGCAGATATTGCCGTTGAGGATCCAGAAGGCCCTCTCTTGAAGTAAAAGAAGACTGAAAATTCAACTTCTCTAACTGATTCATAGCTTGAGACTTAAGATGAGCAGCCTGCTGCATACCATGTAAATTGGAATTGGAATGACTACTTATAAGAGTGTTGGTTTGAGATACTGCAGGCAATTTTACTGAATTCAAGTTCTGACTGTTCATCATAGATCCAGAGGATGTTGCAGATGCATAGAAGTTTCCAGAAGCAAATGAGTCAACATTATTCAATCCATATCCATCACCTGGCAATAGAATTGTTACCCATTCTGTAAGATGCAGCTTCTATGCAAAATTGTGAGATGCATGCAAAATAAAATAAAAAACACAAATAAAAAAAAAAAAACAAAGAAAAGAAAACAACCCAATAATAACCAACAGTCAAAGAAATTATGCGACTGAAAAGTAGGGATGGAGTGAGAGCAAAGGACTTAGGTTCAATACCAAGTGAACTAACAGAAAAGAGCAAGAAAAATTACCGTGCCCTGGCAGTTGCTGATTTTGATCAAAGTGCTGCTGTGGGTGTTTAGGCGAATTCGTATAAGTTGTGGCATAGGCATCAACAAAGCCAGATTCACTTGTCTGTTGCCTATTGTTTCCAATCAATCCTAACCCACTACTTATAGCTCCATTTGAGTATGCAAAAGATTTTTGCTGTAACCCAGATCTCATTCCACTACCCATTTGGCTGCCAAGGTTCTGCATCACATTATTGTTTTGGCCCCCAACATGCTGTTTCTGCTGCTGAGGCTGTGAGACCATTGAGGATTCAACACTGGAAAAGACACCACTATTATCAGAAGATTCTACATTCATGTATGGGTTATTGCTGCTAGTAAATCCAGGAGTGGGAATCATCTGGCTTCCAGCTCTCTGCGCACCCATTGATGACATGGTTCCCCCAGAACCAATTGAATAGCTGGTTGATGATGGCTGATAGCCATTAGACAAAGCTGCAAAAGTAGATCCCATGATGAAAAAAGGTTTCAAAAAAAAAAAAAAAGGAAAAGAAAAGTAAAGCGAAAGGCTAGGTGAAGATTACAACACTTGTACTTACCATCAGATCTACTTAAAGAATTCCCATGCAAACCACCTGTGGGAAACATGCTTCCACTATTGACAGATGGAGATGCCATGCTATTACATCCAGGGGTAACAATCATTGAGGCATCTACAGAAGATGTAGCTGTCATGTTTGAATTCACAACATGTGGCATACCAGGTGTTGGTATCATTGTACCTACTGGAGAAGAGCCAACATGCTGGGGATATTGCTGGCTATGATTATTCATAGATGGCCGTCTGATGCAATTAAGAAGACGGCTCTCTAGGGTATCCAAGTTCAAGTACTCCTCCTGAAAAGGAAAGTCCAGAGATTATCATCCACTAGAAAAACAAGTACATAATTTAAAAATAAATAAATAAAGATGCTGAATAAAAAAAACAATTATTCTTTGTTTTTTGGTGAAATTCAAAAAAACAATTATTTGGAGAAAAGTGCGAATAAGCGGGAGGATCAGATATCCTCTAAATTAGTTAGAGCAACCTTAATATTTGGATCACTAGAAAAGAGTGTATAGGAAAATAAACAGAGAGCAAGACAGAAACCTTGGATGTGGCAGTTTTTAACATGGCTTCCTCCAAGCGTTTAGCAAAATCCTTGTACCTTCTTTTCTGTAATTCTGTTACAGGATGTTGTTGCCGCTGCAGTAAGATCTCATAGCTGGAAGGTAAAGAGCAGCATGTTTATAAGGTGTTCAATGATCTAAAACATACACGCACAGAGTTAAGAGTAGACCAGGGACAGAGCAAGACCAGCATGGCAAGAGATAGGAGGACGTGTGGGAAAATGAGTGGGATTAGATCATTACAATACTGCGGGGAAATACTTGACTTTAGTATTACTTTTTCAAAACTTTTACTCAACCACAGTGGCATTTATTTTTATAATTTTGGGAAGCCATGCAAGTCAGTGTATCCCAATGAGTAACGGGGATGTCAAAAAATTTGCCTCCCACTACAGGAAAAGAAGAGGTAAGGATACCTCATAAAAAACTTTGAATAAGTACCCTAGTTTATGGAAAGTTTTTGTATTCAAATTTAAAATCATGTTGTTTTCATCTATAAAGTTTGAGTTAATTTCCATAAAATTTAGTAAATTTGGGAATCTACATGAGTCATCTCATCCACATGGGAATGTTAGGGGAAAATATGCCTCTGGCAGCAAGAATTGTGGAAGCAAGGAGCCTCTCATCAACAAATGGGATAACATAACCAAGTTAATACAAAGTACAATATTATGAAATATACAATAGAACTGTGAAAGACTAGGTGGTTGCAATCAAATTACATGTATTTCTAGGAACACTATGAAGATGATAATGACGCAAACATGTCAAGACTTATTAAACCACACACGTTATCTTCAGGCTAAAACCTTAACTACGCAGTAAGGCACAATGCAGCATTCCAAACATGGAAGAATATGTAACATCATTTAATGCCCAGAATAACTAAGTCACTTTTCCCATCGTTTTGCGTTGCATAAGTTTAAAGAATCCATTATGAGATCATCTATAGCATCCACGGGCTTTCATGATCAACTTTCCGATGCTTTTGTTCAGAAATTCATTATGATTACCAAAAAAGTTAGCGATTACCCCTATTGATAAAAGTTCCTCACGAGTCAATGGAATCAAGTCACTTGCTGATTGAATACACATAGACGATACACCAAATTTTTAAACAAACAAACAAACAAAACACAAAAAAGAAAGTCTTACATCTTCTCTTGCATAATCGTGCGCGCTCTAAGAAATTCAGGGTCCATATTAATGGTGGAGCGCGGAACACCAGCTAAATTTGGTGTCTGAGGGAGGGCATTTCGATTTGGCTGGGTCAGTCCAGGCAACTGGGATCCTGACTGATTAGGTACCTGACCTGACATCTGCCCGGGAATTGGCGCCTGTAGTTTCATCTACTTTATTCTTCACACTCGCTTTATGAAACAAATATTTCATAACTCAAGATGATCCAGCATTCCAAAATCAGCTAGTAGTTCAGCTGCAGCAAAGCCATCTTATCAGTCCACAACACTAAATAGCCAGGTATCCTAAGTGAACTTCGACAAAGGTAAATATAGTTCTTTGACATTATCCATTGAGCATCATTCATAATGCTTTCTTACATTCAATACCTTATTGGAAGAAACTTCAAATCAACTAGGTTTCATCCGAGTACTTCGCTGACGGAACATAGTTGATTAGAAGTTACACACACAAGAAAGGAATGACAAAGCAAGAAACCATTATGAACTTCAATGCCTATTGAAAACACAAGCGCCATTGAATGGGGAGCTAAGAAGATCCCCAGCTCCTGTGATCTGTAATTGAGTGGTTATATTACGATAATATGAACTCAATTAACAAAAACTACAGCACATAACCCTAGGTGGATGAAAAATCAGACCAGAAATTTGCATTTCAGGAACCAGAAATCCTTTCAAAATTGACAAAATCAACGAGCCTAAACCGGTGAAGAGTCAAGTAGAAGCACAACAGTAGTTCGAAATTTCGAAATGAAATCGAATACGACCTCAAAGCATCGACGACCACCCCGACGACGATCAACGATTCGTTTGCCGTGCAGAAAGAATGAAGGTCGGTGACGCGTCGCGATTCTCTGCTCCGGGGAAAAAGAAGCAGGCGTGTTTTGGTGTTGGAGCCCAGCCGTCCAAGAGATCCTTCGATATCGAATTCGCCACGTGGCAACTTGCCTTACTAACATGCAAGCGAATCCGTACCGTTCATCTTAAAATACTCTCGGCAATCCGTTAATAACCCTTTGACCAAAAAAAATCCGTTGGTATCCCAAACAATGCATCTCCTTTTCAAGATTCCTATTAATTAAAACCCAATGTCCAAAACAACGAAGCCTGGTATTAGAGCCTATAAAAGAACTTACCAAAAAAAATCAGATATGGGGTATGTTTCCCGGAACATTAGAGTTCTTTTTTCTTTTTCTTTTTTTTTTGGTTGGAAGTAAGAGTCAAGTACAGTAAGTGAAATGCATGGACGAAGAAACAAAAGCATGAAGGACTAAAAGGCAAGGAAAGTGATTTGCAACATACACCACGGGATGATTTGTGTGGACCGTGTGACAATAGACCTGAGGATCCCAAGAGCTTTTTGTGGAAGTGAAAATGAAAGTAAAAGTGAGATAATGGAAATGGGATATAATTGTTTGTTAAATATATATATTTATAGTATGAAAAATATCAAAATGCCCTTCAACCAAAAAAATCCCTTCCACTTCTCCTGCCAACAGATCGCCATCCATGGCCCACCACCACTGTCTCCCAAAAAAAAAACCAAAAACTGGTAGGACTAAAAGATAATTCATCAATCAAAAACTTATCATTAATCATCCTTGTAAACAATCGAAGAGGGAGAAGGAGAAGATGAAGTGGGAGAAGATCGCAGATCAAAGAGGGAAAAGGGGAAGATGAAGTGGGAGAAGGTCGCAGATCGAAGAGGGAGAAGGAGAAGACAAAGAAGCTGAGTCGCAGCACCCTCAGCAACTCAATCTCCCTCAACGAAGTGTTCTAACGTGACGAGAGGACATTTGCTAAGACATTGATGATGCCATAGCTAAGCAAAGTTGAAATCGAAGATCAAGATGGAGTACATTTAAGAAGCTTTTGAGATCTAGCTCTACAGAGACATTCGTTGGTTAAAGAAGAAGATGGGATGGGGATGACAGAGGTAGGAAGTGATGGAGGTTGGCAGCGATAAAGGTTGAGGGGGAGGACGAAGGATATAGATGTTAGCGGTAGCACCTGCAGCACATGCGGAAAATGATTTATTCGAGTCATGTCCCATGAACACTATCCTTAAAAGCTATTCTATGACCACTAGTAAATGAGAAAGCAATACTTTTCAAGATTAAACGAACTCTTTCTGCAATAACAAGGCAAATAGGACAACAGAAGATAAAAACATAAACCCAGCTAGGCAGCAAAAGTTTAAGAGGAGGGAGGACGCATGCATGAAAACTCAAGTGCAAGATGCTTAAACCTCATGCAGACTCTGCCTTTTATAGGCCATAAACTCAAGAGTCATTGGCCCTGAATTAATCACATTAAATGTGATTAAAGTCTTAGTTATGAATGTTTTAGTACTAAATCCGAATAACACATACATTTTGAGTGTTAATGGTAATTAACTGATATGTTTGCAATTAAAAAATCCGTTCTAGCGTATCAAAGGAGTGTAAATAACTTAATGGTAAGGCTTTCAAAATTCAAATGTAATAAAATCATGGTTCTCATATGAGCTTTTTTTTTGGTTATAAATCATTTTCAGATTTTGCAAAAAGCCTTTGATTAAAAGGTATCCAATTCGCCCTTAACTCGTGCACAAAGGGGGAGTCGCCAGATTTCCACTGCATTTGCCTCCGGTGGCCTATAGTCATGCACGTAAGATCATCCTTCTCCTCTAGACCCATTTACTAGTCCAAGAACACAAGCTAGTATTTATAGACTTGTGCTTCCAAACTCTTGAGTAATATGGGACTTATTCTTTTTGAGATATCCACATTATATCTCCAATAATCCCTCATATGTGTCAAAAGGAACACCATTGGATGAGTTACACACACGGATATAGCCATTGTATCTAGTAATCCTTTGGACTATGAACTAGACCTAGACCAATAACGCTTAGTACATTGAAATATCAGTGGTCCTATGGACTATGAACTCACACCTTTTGGGCGTATACTAGAGGCATCATTAGTCAGGTTATACCCCCATATTTTTGCTATTAACAGCGTTTTTGCATTTTAGGACGGCCATGCACATGCCTGGTACATAACGAATACTCTAGAGATTTTGTCACGATCTCATAGGAGCGGCCCCACTCCACATTCGTGGAGGTCATTTCATTAAGTATACCTGCAATGAGCACATCATCCTATAGGACTATGAAATCATTAAGAGCTTCCGCTCAGCTACACCAAAATATATTCTAACACTTTCTCGCACACTATAAGAAGGGACTAACAGTTTATTTAGTACTAGGAAAACTAATAAACGACTTGTTCTTACCCATTAAATCTTCTTCATGAGATCACAATCACAAAGGTTGGGTTGTCATTGTTGTTAATTTCGAAGTGGCTTCAGTCCCATTCCTCTCAATGTTTCATAAATTTGTTTACTCCCCAAAGTTTTCGTTAACGAATCCGCTAGGTTCACTTTTGACTTCACATAATCAATTGAGATTACTCTATCTTTTAGCAGCTACTTTATAATATTATGTCTCAATCGGGTATGTCTACTTTTATCATTGAAGGTTTTATTTTTAGCAGTAGCTATCGCCAATTATCACAGTGTAAAGACACTAATGGTGTTGGTTTTTCACCCAATGGAATATTTGCTAAGAAGTTTTTCAACCACTCAGCCTCAAAACCAGCCAACTCCATTGCAATAAACTCAGAATCCCTTGAGGATTTTGTGAGTATAGTTTGTTTAGCTAACTTAATACACCCCCACCAAGACTGAAAATACAATCATTAGTGGATTTTGTCTCATTTGAGTTTGGAACCCAGCTAGCATCACTGTATCCTTTTAATATAGTAGGAAATCTACTAGATAGTATACCTTAGCTCATGGTACCCCTCAAGTAACTCAACACCCTCAGCAGAGCCTCCCAATGCTTACTGCTCAAGCAATGAGTATACCGACTCAACCTACACATAGCATAAGCTAAGTCCGGCTTGGTATAGTTTATTAAATGTAGTAGACTCCCAATAATCTGTGCATATCTATATTGAGCAACTGGATCCCTTCATGTTTTGTTAAATGCACGTTGGAATCATAAAGAGTGCTAACAGGAGAAACATCATGATGTTCAAACTTTCTCAAGATTTTCTCAACATAGTGTTCTTGAGAAAGTAGGATACCACGTTCGTTCCTTATGATTTTAACACCCAATATCACATTTGCTTCACCCAGATCTTTCATGTCAAAATTTAAAGTAAGAAAACATTTTGTCTCATGCACAACATTCGTGCTAGTACCAAAAATAAGCATGTCATCCATATGTAAGAAAATAATCACATAATCACCATTTACAAGTTTGGTAGAAACACAACGTTCTACCTCAACAATAGAGAAGCCACCACTCAACAAAACTTGGTCTAGCTTTTTATGCCATTGTTTAGGCACTTGTTTCAAACCATACAAAGACTTAACAAGTTTTGTAAACTTTGTTTCTTGCCCAAGAACTATACACTCCTCAGGTTAGGTCATATAAATTTCTTCTTCTAAATCAACTATTTAAAAAAAGCTGTTTTAACATTCATTTGGTGAAAAAAAAGCTTGTGGATCGAAGCTAAAGGAATCATGATTCTAATAGAAGAAATCCTTTTCATAAGAGAAAATGTATCAAAATAGTCAACGTTTTCTCTTTGAGTAAAACATTTGACTACTAATCTAGCCTCATATTTATCAATTAACCCGTCTGAAAATTATTTTTTCCTAAAAACCCATTTGCACCCAATAGGTTTTGCTCCTGGAGGCAAATCAACCAAAATACATGTTTTATTTTGATTTAAAGAATATATTCCAACTTTAATAGCTTCTTTCCAAAACTAAAAATCTGGAGAAGAAATGACTTCATAAAAATTTTTGGTTCACCTTATGCCATATAAGTATAGAAATCATCTCCAAAAGAAGTTTCTTTTCTCTACCTTTTACTTCTTCTTAAATTCTCATTCAAACCATTATTTGAAATTTGTTCTAAAGAAGAAGAGTTTCAGTTCTTTTAAGAACACGCTCAACTTTCAAAAGAAATATATTTTCAAAAAATTCTACATCTTTTGTTTCAACAATTGTATTGGGATCCAAAAAATCACTTTTCAAAACCAAAAAATGATAAACAGCACTTTGTTGAGCATAACCAATAAATGTGCAATTATAAGTTTTGGAACCTATTTTTCTCTTTTTAGAATCAAGCAATAAAACTTTTGCAACACACCCCCACACTTTTAAATATTTGAGATTAGGCACAAATCCTTTCCACAACTCATAGGGTGTCTTTAATTTTCTTATGAGGTATTCTATTTTGCAAAAAACAAGTAGACAATAAAAGCCTCTCCTCACAAGCTATCAAGTGTAGCAGAACTCATAAGCATAGCATTTATCATCTCTTTTAGAGTTTTATTTTTCCTTTGTGCAACACCATTAGACTTGGGTGAATAAGGAGGAGTTACTTTAGGGATTATTCCCTCTTTTTCACAAAACTCATTTAAACCTAAATATTCCCCTCCTTTATCTGACATGACCCTTTTAATCCTTTTATTAAGTTGATTTTCTACGTCTGATTTATATAGAAGAAACTTTTCAAACGTTTCATCTTTATTCCTCAATAAATATAGCTTACTATATCTTGAAAATCTATAAAGGTAATATAGTATCTTTTACCTCTTCTAGTTTCAACTTGTTTTAAATCTCCTAAATCAGTATAAATTAAGGACAGTAGTTCAGTTTCCCTTTGTATAGAAAAATGTGCCCTCTTGGTTAATTTAGTCTCTACACATACTTCACATTTGTTTTCAGTATCACTTTTCAATTCAGAAATTAGACCAAGGTTCTGCAAACTTTTAATATATGATTTATTAACATGTCCTAATCTAGCATGCCACAAATCAAAAGAGTTACCCAAGT